CAGTTATTTCGACTAAAAACCTAGAAATTTTCCAAAATAGGGGCAAGGTGATCCCCTGTATCATCTTGCCCATAACCTTAAGATCATCTTGGACACCCCGGTGTCTAAAACGATAATTTGGTAGGGTTTTAAAAATATTTAAATATAATAATGAAAGATCAAAAAATAAAACGTTTTTAGTAAAATACATGTAAATAGATAAATTGTCTATCATTCAACGCTTTTACATCTGCTTTAAGCTGAATATCTTTTAAACTACCACCATTCTCCTTTCCCGTACTACTCGATTTTTGTTAGTTGTGAATTGCAATATGTCAATATTAATGACCTGTTACATGCCTGTTACAATAAAATTTGATTGTCTGTGATTGATTAATTATAACTTTTGGAAACAATTGATCGCAAATGCCCGTTGGAGACTTCCCACGTTTTCCTAAGGTTGCGATCGTTAGGCGGTTTCGATGATTATATATATATAACTCGGTAAAGGTTTTCCTTGATGAAATGGTAAAAGGTGCACATCGAAGCCGCCTAACGATCGCAAAAAAATAAAAATGTGGGAAGTCTTCAACTATATATATATATATATATATTTATATATATATATATTATTTAAGGTACATTCTTATCACGTACCTACTCCATTTTTATCTGATTATTTCTTTTAAAAAGAGGCGGTTAAAAAAGTCGCATTTAATTCCACCGTTTGTAGACTAACCGATGTGGTATGGAATGAACATGATAAAAATGCCAGTACCAAGATATTCTTATACCTACTACAGCGATATCAGCCTCCCCGCAGGAAGCCCATCGTCGGCTTGGATGAACGGCGGTAGTTTCGTGCCGCAGCAGCGGTCTTGCGCCGAAGCCGGCTGGAACCAGCGCGTGAGCGGGTTATCGCTCGCGAGTTGCCCCGCGACTTGCATAACAAGCACGCAACTACGATAACCCTGTATCGTGGAGACCTCTGACCCTACGCCCCGATGCTCCTGCCGGCTATGAATAGCCCTGAATAGCCCCTTTTTGTTTAGACCGCGACCCTGTGACGCTACTAGATATACGCATGGCTCCAAGGGATATTCTCGGAACAAGAGAGGGGTCGAGATGTTTGGATAGAAGTAGGTACCTACTTGTCACGCCACACCGCACACGACAGATGTGACAGCTACGGGCGCAATCGCCGCGCGATAAGCGACGCCACTGCGGCTATCTTATCACGCCGCAGCCGCGAACAGCGCCGCTGCCCCGATGTTATCTACCACTCGCACTCTCATCTCCGCCGCCGGCCGCACTGATTTCATTTGCCAAATCGACAGCCACTGTATTGGTGATGCAATTATTGTAGGTATATATTACATATATTTGTAACTACACGCATTAAGTGGGACACTAGTTATAAGTACTCAAAAAATAAAACTATTATATTATTATAAATTTATATTTCATTCAATGTACATTTTATTTAATATTATACAATACTATCTCAAAAGCAGGCCCTAAATACTTGCTCATTTTTTTCTTATACGTTGTACAGATTTACTGAAGACGTAGCGCAGCACAGTTTTATTAGGCAATAAGTTAAAATATAGGTACTTTGCACTACTATTAACTAATGCATAATAACTAACTTCTTTCAAGTGACTGCTAAAGCGATTGTTGTTTTCTCATAGAAGTGTTATTTAGTTATTTGTGGTAGTATTATTTTCTTATTTTCATATGTGGAAGCTTTTAATTGGCATCTGATTATTTATATTTAAATCCATGTTGTAAAAGTAGCCGTAAGCTCCCCTAACATAATAAAATAAATAAAATGAAATACGGGTAATATACAATAAAACCTTAAATACTTTTTGTTTACTTAGGATTAAATTATATGAACAAGTTAAATTGTGTCCCAGCGGCGGTGCCAAAGATGCTGGTGATGCGTTCCCACTTTATATAGCTATGGTAATAATGCGTTGGGCAAGATAGCGATAGAAAGCCGACCCAAGGGCTTTCCGGAAAGTCTATTCATTTTTTGGATACAATTTTGTACAGATGAAAGGCACCGAAACCCCACGGGTCGAGTGTTTCGACCCATAGGATGTAGAGAGGAAGTCGGAACCATGGCACGTGTTTCTCTTTAGTCTTTCCGCCAGCTCAGCTGCGGAACCAGCCCTCTCGCTGGTGTGTTGGGGACGGGATTGGGCAAATGTGTCGGCACACGTGGCGTCGCGCACCAGTGCTCGGGCCCTACTCCAAGGGACAAGTGTCGTTCTGTCCGGGCGTTTCCCAACAGCGACATGCCACTTAACTCGAGGACAACGGGCGCGTTAACCGTGGCCAAGCCGGCGGATGACGTCGCCGAGTTGTCGACTGCCTGCCGAGAGATAACTTGTACATAGGTATCATTGCTGAAGACGATTCTATTTTATGGTATTCAGTATTTATTACTAACTTATATGGCGAGGATAAGTATGTACAACAGAAAGAGAGTTTTAATTTATGCAATGTGTTGACAATACAGCGCTAAGCTCTCATGAAGCTAGTTCGGCTTGAAATCAATCATCTATTATGTGGAAGCAGTGACGACAAGTTTGTTGAGCTAATTGGACTGGCGTCACTGTTTACTCGTAATCTTTATGTAGTTTTATTTATGTACTTTTCTTTTGGTGGTTGCAGACCTTAGATTCATAGAAAAAATCATTGCACAGTTAGAAGAGGAGACTAAGTTGCAATCATCTCCAATCTGCCGCCCGTACCTACAGCAGAGAACAAATAAGTAATCCTACAGCCTAGCGTGTACAGTTCTCGCTTAGGCCCTTTTTTACTCAGCTTTGCGGCTTAGCCTTCTAGTAAGCACGGTTCAATGTTTGAAGCTTATGGATTAATTTATTGTCCCTTATATTAAGCAGGAAAACGTCACGAACTCTCTTCACAATAACTCTTTTTTACACGTGTTACAACAACAAAACGCTTAATTTATTGAATTTAATACAATAATATTACTAGGATGTAAAAATTGTATTCCCATGCGATAATACATAGGTACAGATAACAACAGCGGGTATTAATTTCGATGACGATCGTAGGCGTAGGACCGACCCACTCTACATTTTGCGGTGGATACAATACCTAGCGAGATAACAATACACCTACTTAACTGTAAATAACGTATGCTTAGCGATACAATATTGAACTCTTTCGCTCCGCACAAACGTAGAGCACTCGCAGTGATGAAATTAGATTGTCCACGTTTACGACAGAATAATGTCGAAGCGGAGGACAATTGAGCGTGTGGCTACAGGCGCTCCTGTAGCCACACGTCCTGTAGCGTCTACGGACCGCGGGCGGCGGGCGGCGGCGAGTGGCCGGGCGCCGCAGGGCTGCGGGCGCGCCGCTCGCGCCAGTCCGCCCGCGACCGCCGACTTCGTCGCTCCGCTCCGCTCGCCGCTCCGCGAACTTCCGCACGCACTGCACGATGCCGCACCACGGTGAGTGCGCCGCCCCGGCGGGCCACCACGGCCACCGCCGCCCCTGCGACACGGGGCTCGACTCCGACCCGCCCCGTTACGTCCTTAATCCGGGACTCATTAACCGGCCGTAATCGCGCGAGCCGCATCGGACGGATTACCGACCGATAATCCGCTGTCTTAGCACGCGGATGTAGTCGCGATCGTAAGCAGGTAAGTGCGTCCTCGACTCGGTGTTTATCCGGCTCGCTGTTTCCGAATACCTACAATTTTAAGAATTGTTACATTATTTATTACTCGGTCCGTTGTGGTGGCCGAACGATTAATATTCAACGAGTACGATTTTGCCAGCGTCATCGTAAAAGCCAACCGTGTCCATTTCGCACTACAAGAGGTACATGATACCGTTGTCAAGTTTTCATTACTTGCATGTATTATAATGAAATTGGACAAAAATATTGACAGTGAGTATAATTAGGTATTAATAAAAATGCGACGCTGCAGCATTAAGGGATGCGGCTTTAGAAAAAGTGCAAATCAATCGAATGTTACATTGCACAGCCACGTGTTATTTTTGTCTATAAATCACACAAAAGCCCAAATATCTCACGTAATTAGACATATTTATGTAGTTTATTCATAAATCTTGCCAAATTTTGCTTTGGTTTCTTCAGATTGCCTGTTTGTTTGTATATTTTGATGATTGTTGTTAATGATTATTTTGAGACAGCGTTGTTCTATGTACGCTTATGTAATATGTACGCTTCCAACATATTACCGATATTCTGTTATTAAAATAATTCACTACCAGGTTTTTATTATTTTTACTATTTCAAGTTTGTAGGTAAACTCAGGACAACTCTAATTACTAAAAATTCTTATTTTATAAAGCCAGCAGTACAAAGACCATGTTGGTCTAACGTTGCCGGGTGAAGGCCAATACTAACGTATAGACAGTCTATTTGCCTTGCCTTGCCTTGCCATCGTTCGGTGTCACTCGCCTAGCTGACCGAGTGAAGGCGAGCGCTAACGTGTATAAAGCTCGTTTGACGTGGCTTGTCACAACTCGCAGTCGCTCATGACTACTTGTCTCACTTCGGAGAAGTGTCGATTTTTCTGCACAAATCGAAGGCGCTTGACTTAGCCCAAATATTTCATGTAATTAGACTTATCTAAGTAGTTTATTTATAAATCTTGCCAAATTTTGCTTTTGTTACTTTAGATTGCCTGTTAGTTTGTATATTTTGATGATTGTTGTTAACGATTATTTTGAGATAGTGTTGATCTTGTAAGCATACATATTATCGATATTCTGTTATTAAACCAATTCACGAGGTTTTTATGGTTTTAATAGATTTTTACAACTACTTCCATTATTTCTGTGTTAAAATTGCTTGATAGATTCATTTGCTTAAGAAAGCCCGGGAATTAACGTGAATACTAGAATCCGCAGAAACCTGAATAGACTTGTACTTGACAGTTAGTTAAAAGACGTAATGTAAATATGTACTAAAATGTAGATTAAAGGCCCGGGACCTCTTAAAGTAATTTTTATATTTTATTTAGTAAGTACAATTAATACTATATAATATTATATACCAGTAAAGTAGGTATAATTAAGTAAGAATGCGCATGTCGCCAAGAAACTGCACAGCAGTTTGGTGACTTTTACTGAATAAGTTACCAGTTGTAATCTTAAAAATATTTTTTTTCAAAGTTTAAAAATGTGTGTTGACATTCATAATAATATACTACTCGAGAGTAATTTTTTGGCTTGTGTTTGTTTAGGCATACTTTGGGTGCAGTAAACTAAAGATACAAAAAAAACAGTTTCAACATTCAAGCCATATATTTGCATGTCGATAATGACTTATCGATAGATTATAGTACAACACTAAAGAAATCCGCCATTTGTAACTTTCAAATTTTGGTTACATGCACGTTGATTCTAGTAGTTGATTATAGTTAGGGCAGCTCCTTTCTTTTATTTTTTTCCGTCCTCTAAGAAAAATTGTGACGCGGTTGCGTCAAAAACTAGGTATAGACAAGTAATAAAGTAAATTTGGTGGCATGGCTTACTGGGTTGCGATCGCTCACCATAATATGGTACTGGCAGAAAACCAGTGCTGTTTGACTTCTCGCGGTCTACAGTATTCATGCTGAGTCAGGGCCATTTCAGCACAACTGTTTCAGTACAACATTTTGTTTTTTCTCTACAAGTAGGTATATGTTTATATCAATGTGTACTAATTTAATTATGTTCTATGTGCTTTTGTGTTATACCTAGTGAAGTGATTGTTAATGTTTGTTTCGTCTTGTGTTTGTGCTGAATAAACGCTTTACATACTTAATATATTTTTGAGGAAATAATTTTCTATACAAACTGTAACGTTTTAAACTGAGTATTTCAACGCTGCCGCTGCGTAAATCGCGTATAAGGTACCTTCAATAAATAACAGAAAATATCGACGCATAATATAATTACGTGTAGGTATCTATAGGTGAGGCATTCTTAGGTAGGAGTCCTACTTAAATTACTTTTTCTACTCCTCTACTTTAATCTGTCAATTATAATTTCATAAAGCGGCCCATTCACTACCTGCATGGCAGTCCGCCGCGCAGGCATCAGACTGCTCACACACTATCCCGCGTATGGCCCACGTATGGAGTCTCCCAGGACGCAATGCAGGATGGCTTGCACGCTGCGACTACATTCATTAATCCTGCATTACGCGGCGGACTGCAATGCAGGATAATGAACGCCCCCTTTACGGCATAGTCCTCAGCGCACTTTTTAGTTCTGAATCAAAATTCTATAGTCTATATATAGTACTTGCCACTGAGCTAACAAGAGAAATGTTCTTTATATAGAACTATATAATGAGTTTCAAAAAAAGAATCTTTGCTAAATAAAATATTAATTATATTCCGTCACTTCATTCTCGATATAATATTTAACCAGGTAGTTTCCTTAACTTGCTTGGCAACACCGCACGGTTTTTAGAGAAAAAAAAATGTTTTGACGTTGACTCTCCCTACCAGGCATCAACCGCCATTTTCTATCCTCATATCGCATTCCTTCATCGCTTTCATACATCGCAAATGTGAATCTAACCTACATTTAATAAAACATCGGGTTAACTGCGAGTTATCCCCGATGACCAAATCGAACATGGGTGGATGAAAATGCGAACAGATATATTAATATGTGCATTTTACATGATTTATAATAAAACTGCCTCGGAGTTAAACACGATATTGAAATCGACTGCGAGTTGATTTTAATTGGAACAGTATTAGTACCTACGTGCTAATAAGTAACGTATATATTTCAAATTAAACTACGTCGGGGTTAACTACGAGTTAACCACTATTATGAAATCGACTGCGAGTCGATTTTAATTTGAACAATATTAGTTCTTACATGCCAATAAGCAAAGATTTTTTTAAATGAAATTACGTCAGGGTTAACTGCGAGTTAACCACGATAATGAAATCGACTGCGAGTCGTATTTAATTTGAACAATATTAGTTCCTACGTGGTAATAAGTAAAGAATTGTTAAAATAAAATTACGTCGGGGTTAACTGCGAGTTAACCACGATAATGAAATCGACTGTGAATCGATTTTAATTTGAACAATATTAGTTCCTACGTGTTAATATTATACAATAAGTAAAGATTTTTTTTAAATAAAATTACGTCGGGGTTAACTGCGAGTTAACCACGATAACGAAATCGACTGCGAGTCGATTTTAATTTGAACAATATTAGTTCCTACGTGCTAATATTATTAAGTTTTTTTTTAAATTAAAGTTTCGTCGGGATTAATTGCGAGTTGACCACGATAACGAAATCGACTGCGAGTCGATTTTAATTTGAATAATATTAGTTCCTACGTGCTAATATTATACAATAAGTAAAGATTTTTTTAAATAAAATTACGTCGGGGTTAACTGCGAGTTAAGCATGAAAATGAAATCGATTGCGAGTCGATTTTAATTTGAACAATATTAATACCTACGTAGTTATAAGTAAAGTATTTTTTTTTAATAAATTTATGTCGGGATTAACCGCGAGTTAACCACGATAATAAAAGCGACTGCGAATCGATTTTAATTTAAATAGTATGAGTATTTACGTGGTAATTAGTACAGCATATTTTTTAAGTAAAATTACGTCCGGGCTAACTGTGAGTTAGCCACGATAGCGAAATCGACTGCGAGTCGATTTTGATTCGAACAGTATTAGTACCTACGTGCTAATAAGTCAAGTATTTAAAAAAAAAATACGTCGAGGTTAACTGCGATTTAACCACGATAATGAAATCGACTGCAAGTCGATTTTAATTTGAACAATATTAGTACCTAAGTGCTAATAAGTAAAATTAATTTTAAATAAATTTACGTCAGGGTTAACCGTGAGTTAATCGCGATAATGAAGTCGACTAAGAGCCGATTTTAATAATTATATTATTCTAAGAAAAGTATATTTAAAATCGAATTTAGTTGGAGTTAACCATGAGTTAACTGCGATAAGAAATCAACTGCGAGTTATTTTAACATAACACACAACGTAGTTAAAAGTCAATTACCTATCTAATACAGTTCTAGAGAAGATCGTTAATGGCTTTAGGCGACAGCCACGTGCAAAACCAATATGCAGCTTCGCCAGCAATACCATTATGTAAACAGGTACCAACACTAGTCTGTAATACCCGGCATTAGTTTATCGCCAGACGACAATAGAAAAAATTGCATATCACAATTAAAAACTTAATTGACTTGGGAGCAGTAACAAAGTGCTATCCTAGAAAACATCAATACATTTATGGTAAATTAAAAAAAATTCTATTAAACATCTCACACAGACTGACACCAACCACTGGATCGAGTTGCATAACCCCCAGGTACTCTCGACATAACGTCACTACATACCACGGTTACGAGAAGCCATCGAGATCACGAAGTACAAAACATTTAACCGTGATGATGGTTTTAAACTGTCCAGTGCGTAGAATCC